GGGAGAGGGACTAAAGAGAAGAGAACGGCTCAGTTTCCAGACACACACTCATTGAAGTATGCTGGAGTTGAGTAGAATCATCGGAGTGCACTGCCGTATCATCCAGGAGGTTGATTCTTCATGGTATGAAGAGAGGTTTCAAAATCTCAGGTTTTTGATATCACTGCCTGCTCAGTTATCTCTATATTTGGTGCCATTGGCAGTATCCAAGGCTTTCCTGTTGCTAATTAATCACCTCCACAGAGAACATAATTAGCAGCTTAATTAGGATCATCATCCACCAGTGCTGCAGCATCAGCCTAACCCAGCTGTGAGGTACTGGCTTGAACTTACAATAGCCTACAGTTCCTTTGGGAGCTCCCACTGAGAAGGAGAACTGTCAAAACTCCCTAATTTTTCTCTCTGAAGGAGTTTCTTGATTAAACATTATCAGGGAAAGCAGCATTTACCGATTAGACTTTCATATGCTGTCACACAGCCAGGAGAGAGAGACAAAGCTCATTTCTGGCATGTCTACTGGCAAACAACGGTTGATTCCGACATTCTTACGGGGTGATTGAAGGGAATTCGAAACTTTGTTTGCATTACTAACGAGCCTTAAAATAGTGAAATCGACATTCTGGGGATGACAAGCACTTCTTGCTAAAAGCAAAAATAAATTTCCTTCTGTTGTCCTAATTTTTGAGAGTTGTCTTTCTGAGCCGTTGCCAGACTGTTGCATAACAGTGCTTCCTCCTCATCTTCTCTCCACAGATTCGTCTGTTATGGGGCAGGGAGAAGCTCTTACAAACTCTTATAAACACTCAGTGTTTTATATCAAGAGGTGATACAAACCTCCTCGTGTCCAGGCTTTTCTTCCTTCAGTGAGGGTATATATTTAGGGTGCAAGTTTGAAACAATAGTTTCAAACATTGCTTTTAAATTAGCGTTTGCATCTTCCTTCTGCCCTACAAATAATTTTGACCCAAGTTATGAAAGACTGACAAAAGCACTTGCAGAGCATGTGAAGACGTCGCGTATATACCTGTGGACTGCACTGTTCTTTTCAGAAAGCTTTCTCGTATAACTGATGCAGAATAAGATCAGATGCTGTGCTGAGAACAAGTACTGAAAGCACATAGATGACTAGAGGTAGATATGAGCAACCAAGAGAGCAGGGCTGAAAACTGGAAACCACTTACATGTGAATCATGAACCAAAAGACAAAAATCCAGGAACAAGGTACCCAAGGGAATGAATTCATCTCTTTTTTGTAGAACCTTCTGCATTTCAAGTCCAAAGCCCTGCTGGCTTTGAAATAGTACACAATTCCCAGAAGAAAACTAAATGAAGAATTCGATGATGGATTTTTCACAAAGGCCTAGCTGGGAGATCATTATTTTCAGATGCAGATGTACAGCAGAATGAGAGGTCTGCAACTCCACTACTGTGGTAAAAGTTTGCAAGCAGAGATAAACCGCCACTTCTTCCTTTTCACCCTGGATCTATGTACGTTCTTGTTGGTTCCATTAACTGACATTTAAGCAATGCTTTGAAAATTTACTCTGAGATTTCAAGAGGATATCAAGCTACTAAAATGTAGTATAAAGCTGTAAAGAAACTTGCGTGTCAGCCAGAAAAAATAGTAGATAGATTTACATAATCCTTTCACTAAATTGCAAGACATATGGTCCGCTTAAGTTCGTAAAAACATTACTGAGACAAGATGTTGCTGTAGCAGAGCTGAGATTGGTTCATACTAAAAGATATTTCTAAACCTAAGGCATATCCTGAGCTGTCACAGAAAGAAAATCCACTGTTCCCAGTATGAAAGTTTTGCTGAAGTATGTAAAGGAAAAGTGATTCAGAAAGTCTGTGCATTTGTGAACTGTGGACCAAATCCTGCCTGTGTGGAAAGTTTACATATTCCTGTGTTCCAGATACGGGGAGGTCCTCTTGAGTACCTCTTTTTTGGAAAGCTCAGAGAGGTACAAACATCCCTGAAATACCCTTGGACAAGAGAGTCCTCTGGCGCTGTAGTGGGGAATATTAGTACTTCTACCAGATATTTTCACTTAATGTTTTGGGAGAGTCGTGTTAAGATGCTTTGCAAAGATTCTTTATGCCCAACATACAGGTGGTGAAACCAGCAAAAGAGAATTGAATGAGACTGCCTAGCTGTTCCATGGCAAGACCAGGATTCAGTCTGGTATTTTGTAACTCCTGCTGCAGACATCTCTGCTCAGGACCTTCCTTCTTTGTTATGAAAGAGATGAATCTAATGCCAGGTGTTCTCTGAGTTTAGGAGTGTGCACATCCAGATTTTCCATTCAGTGTCCTCAATAAAGAAGAGCTGCCTGTCTGTTTTCAACCAACTCTGATTTTTCCTTAGGATAGTGTATTTTATTGTCTAGATTTTAGCTCAGGACTGCATGGATCTCTTTTAAAGATAGCTGCCTGTATTACATATTAAGCAACAATAAATACAGCAGACTTTGCCTAACAAGCTTCTGCCTGTGCCTGAGCACTACAGGATTTTACACAGAATTTTGCTATTTTATACATTGAATGGAAGGGTAAAGTTGACTATTTTTTATTCAGCAGGGTCACTAGTTCTCCCAGGAGAGGTGGAACAGACGGTGACTTACTGTACACCCTTTTTTGATAAGCCTGTTCAACTGAAGTTCAGAACCTTGTCAGTTCCACAGCCATCAGACAGCAAAGCCCAAGAGGTATGAGGTCAGATTTATTTATTTGAACATTAAGGGTTTAGGGTGGTTTTTTTTACCTCTTGGTTCCACAAGAACAGAGGGATGCAAATGGAGCGTGCGGAACTGCCGTGAGTTAACAAATCACATTATTAATTTTTAAATTATTAATGAATTCTTAAATACATTAAAAATTGAGATAAACACTCTCATAGAAAGGTACTTTTTTATCTTGCGCACTGCTACTATATAATTCTACGTTTTCAAAATGTGTGCTTCAATACTTCGAACTGTATGTGGGCTTTTTAATATTTAATTGGTGTAACTCACGGAATATTCAAGTAAACTCTTGGACTACCTGACCTTTTAACAAATCACTACTTACATAGAATGATGGGCCATTTAATTTTCCAGTGATCTCATGATCTTACAACATCCTGCAGTTCTTACTGGGCTGAATATAGGAATCATCTTCTGCAACAAGGAGGTAGTGAAAGTTCCCTTTAACATGACATTTAAAAGAAAAAAATGTTTTAAAATATGCTGTGATCAGAATTGGGATTTTTCTTCTTGGAAATGAGTAGTAGCAAGATGCTGCTGACAGTCTGCATTGTCTGGGTCTGGTGTGGAGAGGTTTGCATTACGATGTCTTTTAATCAGACACAATCAATGCAAGCTGTAGTTTAGAATTGCCATTTTCCCTCAGAATTTCAGTTCTTTTCAAACTGGAACAGAAGGTGTGGATTGCTCACAGGCTTATTTTAAGTCATTAAGCTTCCTATCCAAATAGTCAGTGTGAGCATTAACTTTTGGGGATGTTTCTAATTGCAGAGAATTCTTCACCACTCTTTTCCCCTGCCTGATGGTTGAAATAGAAACTGGAGTTAGCTTCCAGCTAAAATGGGCCAGTTTTGATAGTTTCATATGCTTATTGATGTCCCATGAGGCTTAAATCAAGTTTATAAATGACACGTGACCAGCGAAGGATTGATGTTATAGCAGTGCATATGGTGCCTCCTTTCCTGAGCTCAACTGTGTTTAGTTCTTTGCAATAAACTCTTTACTATAAGGAACAATTCTGCTTTGGGAAAAAGTAAATGTTCTAAAATGACCTTTCAAGCTTTAATACCCACCATTCTGTGAATAAAAATACTCACTCTTTTCCCTAAGGATTGATGTAATTCAAGGTTTCTGCCTTGAGAAATATCCATTGGCACACACACAGAAAAAAAAAAAAAACTAGAATGAGGTTTTATAGTTTTCTCACTTGATAACTTCTGTATAAAACCCAAGAAGCAGGAGGGTTGTAGCAGCCTGCAGTGTTCATAAAGGATTGCATGTGACTCTTTAAACTATAATTCATGAAAAATAGATGAAGATCCCACTGCATGCAAAAGTCATTTCCATTTGAGGAAAAGGTGGGTTATGAAAGAGAAACTGAGTATTATTACATTGGTTAAGGGTTGCGTTGCTGCATTTTTCAAGAAGAAAGACGATTTTCACAACCGTTTGGTTGGAGCCAGGCTACTCAAGACGAAGGCAGTCTTTCCCCTAAATGATACGCATAATTGTGCCTTCATTGAGATAATATAACTGTGGCCTGATTTTTAGAACTATCGAGACTAAACAGGTCCATTTTAAAATCCCTTTGTGCTTCAGATTGTCATTGCCTTGAAAATTAAGTCTTGCGTTGCTTACGGAAGGGCTTGTTTAGAGAGAAAAAAAGATTTTTCCTGGAATAGAATCGTGGAATCATCTAAGTTGGAAAAGACCCTTAAGATCATTGAGTCCAACCATAAATCTAACACTGCCAAGTCACCACTAAACAATGTCCCTAAGCACCATGTCTACACTCTTTTAATACCTCTGGGGATGGTGACTCAACCACTTCCCTGGGCAGCCTGTGCCAATGCTTGACAACCCTGTCAGTGAAGAAATTTTTCCTAATATCCAGTCTAAACCTCCCCTGGTGTTACTTGAGGCCATTTCCTCTTGTCCTATTACTTGTTACTTGGGGGAAGAGACCGACACCCACCTTACTACAACCTTCTTTCAGATCTCCCCTCAGCCTCCTTTTCTCCGGGCTGAACAATCCCAGTTCCATCAGCCACTCTTCACAGGACTTCTTCTCAAGACCCTTCACCAGCTTCATTGCCCTTCTTTGGACACGTTCCAGCACCTCAATGTCTTTCTTGTGGTGAAGGACCCAAAACTGAACACAGTATTTGAGGTGCGGCGTCACCAGTGCTGAGTACAGGGGGACAATCACTTCCCTACTCCTGCTGGCCACACTATTGCTGATACAAGCCAGGATGCTATTGACCGCCTTGGCCACCTGGGCACACTGCTGGCTCACATTCAGCTGGCTATTGACCAACACCTCCAGGTCCTTTTCTGCCAGGCAGCTTTCCAGCCACTCTTCCCCATGCTCCCAAACCTGTAGCGTTGCATGGGGTTTTCCTGACCCAAGTGCAGGAGCCATCACTTAGTCTTGTTGAATCTCATACAGTTGGCCTTGGCCCATCAATCCATCCTGTCTGTATCCCTCTGTAGGGCCTTCCTACCCTCAAGCAGATCAACACTCCCATCCAACTTGATGTTGTCTGCAAACTTACTGAGGATGGGCTCGACCTCCTCATCCAGAACATTGATAAGCTGAACTGGCCCTAATACTGAGCCCTGGGGAACACAACTTGTGACCGGCTGCCAATTGGGTTTAACTAGGTTCACAACAACTCTTTGGGCCCAGCCATCCAGCCAGTTTTCTACCCACTGAAGAGTATGAGCATCCAAGCCATGAGCAGCCCATTTCTCCAGGAGAATACTGTGGGAAACAATGTCAAAGGCTTCGCTGAAGTCTAGGTAAATAACGGCTTGTCCCTGATCCACCAAGTGGGTCACCTTGTCATAGAAGGAGATCAGGTTAGTCAAGCAGGACCTGCCTTTCATAAACCCATGCCGACTGGGCCTCATCACCTGGTTGTCCTGTATGTGCTGTGTGATGGCACTCAAGATGATCTGCTCCACAATCTTCCCTGGCGCTGTGGTCAGACTGACAGGTCTGTAGTTCCCTGAATCATCCTTACAGCCCTCCTTGCAGAGAAGTGTCACATTTGCTAACCTCCAGTCAACTGAGACCTCCCTGGTTAGCCAGGACTGCTAATAAATGATGGAAAGTGGCTTGGTGAGCACTTCTGCTGGCTCCCTCGGTACCCTTGGCCCCATAGACTTACGTATGTCTAAGTGGTGTAGCAGGTCACTAACTATTTCCCCTTGGATTATGGGGGCTTCCTCCCGCTCCTTATCCCTGTCTTCCAGCTCAAGGGGCTGAGTACCCTGAGAAAAACTGGTCTTACTGCTAAAGACTGAGGGAAAGAAGGCATTAAGTACCTCAGCCGCCTTCTTATCCTTTGTTGCTACTTTTCCCCTGCATCCAATAAGAGATGGAGATTCTCCTTAGCCCACCTTTTGTTGTTAATGTATTTCTAGAAACATTTTTTTTGTCTTTTATGGCAGTAGCCAGATTAATTTCTAGTTGGGCTTTGGATCTTCTAATTTTGTCCCTGCATACCCTTACGATACCTATGTAGCCCTCCTGAGTAGCCTGCCCCTTCTTCCAAAGGTCATAAACTCTCTTTTTTTTCCCTGAGTTCCAGCCAAAGCTCTTTGTTCAGTCAAGCCAATCTTCTTCCCTGCACACTCGTCTTTCAGATGGACTTCTCCTGCACCTTGAAGCTTTCCTTCTTGAAGAATGTCCAGCCTTCCTGGCTCCTTTGCCCTTCAGGACTGCCTCCCAAGGGACTCTGTTAATGAGGCTCCTAAGCAGGCTGAAGTCTACCCACCTGGAGACTTTTTATGACACTGTTCTCTGCCCATCAACACAAATCTGTTGGGGAAGGTCAGCAGAATGTGGCTGCCTAGTCAGCTTTCATAGAGAATGGAAAGCCATTCCCTGTAAAAAATAAACAAGCTTAATAGTGCAACGTAGGATGTCAAATGTCTAGGCTATGGGCATATTTGTGAAGGACTTCAGGGGAACGTGTATATCTCTGAACGTGTTGCTAGGGAAAATTTAAAAAAAAGCTCTGCTAAGACCCAGTGTATAACTAAGCTAATTGTTAAACAACAACTTGTCTCTCTGAAAACGTTTCTCTGTCAAAAGCTGTTGGGAAGAAGCTTAGTGAACGACATAGCAAATTATTTGTGTTGTCCACCAATGTTGCTTGATCTTTCTTCCCAGGTTTTAGACATAAGTATATTCCTGGATTTCAGTATCGACAGTGCGGTACACGTGACCTCCCACTGCAAATTGAAAGAGCATTCACTCCGTGGTTGAAGTACATTGTCATAGAACATTTACCGTCCCTACCCAGATATTTATTCTCTCTTTTATCTCTACTTAATACTTTCTTTTGTAAAAGACATAATATTTTTTTAATTAACAGTATGTCTTCATGTCTGCTTCCTAGTGTCTTTATTTGTTCTTATTTCCAACCCCTGCATGCATATGAGTGCAGTTGAATGTGTGTTTGCCATCCGCTCACTCTAAGCATGCATTCAACCTGGTGTAGTGGAGGATTTCCCTGCCCATGGCAGGGGGGTTGGAACTAGATGATCTTTGAGGTCCCTTCCAACCCTAACCATTCTATGATTCTATGATTCTATGATTCAAAGTGGGGTTCATCTCACCGAACTTCAGCTTTAAATTTAGTCTAATTTAGCCCTTCTGTCATCAAGAGGGGGAGATAAGCACCTCTGGAAAGTAATTCATCCCACTTGCTGTAAGCATTTGTCCTAAGATGTAATATATCTCTGTCCACAGGCTAACTCCCAGGCTGTCTTTTTTGGCTAGTTGACTACCTTAATCTAGAAGCCTAATTTTTATATGGCTAGGATTAGGAAAGATGAATTCTACCCTTCTATTCTCCGTTGTTTGTCTTTAGTTTGAGCATTTGAAATAGTATTTACCATGCCTATCATTTGATCTTGATCTCAGGAATAGGAGCATCTATCACCAAAAATACAGCTTCCATTGATTTCCTTTGGTTTAAAGTTTTACTGATAGGCCTCAGCTGAGGTTTGTTTCTGCTAATTGCTATGTATAAATGCAGCAGGAACAAGGAAGAACTTAAAGACAGGGCTGACTAAATCAAAGAAGATGGAAGAGTTACATCTTCTCAGAGGCGAGTAAAAACACAGAGATTGAGTGACTTGTCCAGAATGATGAAGTAGAAGTGGAAGATTGGTCAAGATTTGTTGACTCCTAATCCAGTGTCCCAAGCTCAAGATAAACTTTTTTTCTCCCAAGTACTCCAGTATATATTAATTTTATATGAGATAATAGCATACATGCCTTCCCTCAACTTTTTTTACTTATTATTATAGAACTAGTAAGTTTTCCCATGAGTATACAATGAAATCGTTGGTGAGATATGTGCATCCTTTATATAATTTGAACAAGTGAATCATAAAGTGCCATAATTACACAGAAATAAAGGTTTTAGAAGGACAGAGATTCAGTTAACTGTAACTCAACACAGATTAATAAAAAGAACTGATTTGCTAATTGTTAATAGACTTTTGAAGGTCTCAACTTGAAGGTATTTTATTTACAACATTACTTTGTAAAACAGCTTCTAGCAAAATACTTCTGTTATTAATACATTCTTGTCCCCTTTCATTTGGCCATGCAGGAACTGTAAATGAAAATGATTTTTTTCTTCAGAGAGTAAATCACAGGAGCAATCTTAAGCAGACTGGCAGTTTTCTAATAGAGCAAAGTTCTATTCCCAGAGAGCTCTCAAAAAGATTTCAATTAGGTGTTAAATTAGATGCCTGAAATTCACATATTTCTCTCAGCTCCTTAGGCAAAAATAACAAGATAATAACTTGATCAGTTTAGAGGATTCGATGTTCTATTGCAAAATGTCTTCTTTTTGAAATAGATCAAAATTGCAGTTTTCAATATAAAAATTTTAGATTGCTTGTCTGCATGGAAGGTTGAAGTGAATGGCTTCTTGGGAGAAGCAGCAAAAAAAGAGTCCCTAGTACTCTTGTACTAGTACTTGTTGAGTACTTGTTTGAGAGATGAAGCACACTGAGAAATATGCAATGTGAATAAACTTTTCAAATGTGCAATGAGTGGGTAACAGAAAAATTAACAGTGAAGCTGGATATGTTCTACTTTTGCATCTAATTTCAGTTAGTGTTTTGGGTTTGAGTTTTTTAAACAGAAGTTTTTGCAGTATTTCTCTGCACATGTGTAAAATGTTCCTGGAATGACATGAAAGTCAACACAAGGGCCGAGTGAACGTGTGTGCTTTTCATAACTATGTTGGCAGAGGAAGAATAGATTTGTTTTTGTAGAATCCCTACAAGGCTTACTGTAATTTAAACTCCTCCTAGCCTAGTTACCTATAGGTGTGGTAACAAATATTCTTACAACCAAACTAACTTAAAAATATTTCCACCTTGCATCACATTTTAGAAGAGTGTTTTGTATTTCTGCAAAGGAAAGACAGGTAGTAATGAATCTCGGTTGCTGGTACCAGTTGTTACCCAGTTGCTGGTACCCTCACTGGCGTGGAATCTTAGGAAGCTTTGCGTGTTGAAGAGATGATGAAACTGGTCATCAATATGGCGAGGAGATCAAGGACTTGACCTTATCTTTAAGGGGAAAGAGAGCTTGTGTGCAGGCTTTGTCTCATGTAAACATTTCTTGAATGTACTGTTTATGAAAGTTAATGATGGTTTACCTGGGATAGTCTATGGACATAAGCAAGATAATCTTTGCATTGAGAATAATTACCATTTTCTAGACCAACTCAATCTACAAAGTTTGTTTTTCTTATTTATAAACGCCAGTGGTCTACATATCTGCATCTAGGATGATTTATATGGTCCAGCATCTATTGAAGTCAGTGGAAGCCAGGTTCCTAGAACATTAAGCAATACAGATGATTAATAAAATTAAACAAAAGCAGAAAAAATATTTCCTGATCAATCAGGCAGTATTACAGTTTATTAATAAAGGGTGTAGATACTTGCAAGATACTTGCTGCCACATCAGTCAGGTGCCTGGCCATCACTCTGCTGACTTACTAGATGACATTAAGTGTGTCAATACAGCTTCTTACAAGAAGTTACCAGAAATTGTGTGGTATGCTGTGCCTTCTAAACTGAGCAATGACCATAAGATGCTGAGTGTTCTTCCTCCCTTTCCGCAAAACAAGTATGTGTATTCTTAGCTTCAAATACATCAGTCGTCAGTGGCTTCATTGAGGATTCATCAGAAGTTTGAAAAAATGCTGATTTGGTACTGAAGTACTTTAATTTTTGAAACATAGAGCCCTTGAGGAGTTGTACTGTTTGCATGGTTGAAATTTCTAGACATTTTATATTGACTTCTCAAAGGATAGGGAGCATTCCTCTACAGTTTGGGCAGTGAGGATGTGTCTCTGGTGTAGCTCTGGAATAAATTTTATGTAACTGCTTACCGTAAGCCTTTTGTGTCATGGCCCCCTGCAGTTCCTTATCAGCATGCAGCCTGCCATAGTTATTTGTTTTCATTAGTTTGTTTTATAGGCAGAGTGTTTCTTCTGAAATATTTCTACCAGAAGCATTAAGTACTGTACACTCTGTCAACAAAGCGAATATTGGCAAATGCAGTAAGACTCTATGTTCATCATGCAGGAAATCCAGACCAGCCAATTGCGTGTCTCTGAGATGGTATTAGAGTCTGAAAATTGGTTATTTGTCATTTTGCTCATTCCAGGCATTTCCTGTGCTGAAACTATGTTCTGGAAAGCATGTTACATTAGTATCAAGTTCATGTATACTGAAGCTTTATGTGATACTAGCCCAAATTCCAAGGATATGGAATCTGTCTTTGAAATTTAACATTGCTGTACATAACTTGTCCATATCCCCACAGCCCTGCCGCTACAAGTGGCAGCAATGTAATAAATGTGTCCAAGGGAGGTTTTGAGATTCCTTGCCTTCAGCAAAATTAACTAATGATATTCATTCAGATGCAGTACAGTACAAATGGGGCATATTAAATGGCTTAAATTAGGTCAAATTGAATAATTGAATTTATTTTACTTAAAAGAGCTTAATCAGCTGAGAGTGCTAGAGTCAGAAAAAATAGTTTAATTAAATATTAATTAGAAGTTTATATTTTGAGCTTCCTCATCATCACTTGCAGCAATATTATTTATGTAACTATTTTTCCTTATTACAGCTACTAGGGGATGATGTTCAACCGTTCTCACTTGATGAAGAATTTGATTATGACAATGTGGCACTGACCCCTAAGTTCTCTGAAGCTGAACTGAAGGCCATTATAGAATTGTCTGAAGAGAAGAAAACGGGGACAGATGTCAAGTCAGCATGAGCTGAAGACTGAGTTGAAGGCATTCTGTGCAGTGCTGTTGAAATAACATTTTTAGGAGGTAAATCTAGCTCTTCATTACACCCTTATTTAGTGGTTTTGTCTATGTGGCCAGTAAATGACATCCTTGACATTTTTTTGTTTGTTCTACCAAGCTGCCTTGGAGCCTGAAGTAGCCTTTCCCTGTACCTCCTCCTAGTACTAATGAGAACACAAAATAGGAAGAAGGTGCTTGCCCAGAGTTGCTTGTATAGTAGCTCTTCAGCCCAAGAGGAAGTATTTCCATCCTTTTTATATGTCTGATTTGCTTAGGCATTCAGGTTGGCTAAGGAGATCTCTATTTGTCCCTAAACCCAGCAGGATTTTTCTATAGATCAATGACCTTTAATATTTTTAAGCCTCAGTGCTCAGCTACTTTGTTGTTTTCCAGGTGGTTCAAGGCAGTTGGAAGGATGTCTCAAATGACAGCCATAAATTCCCTTTTGTAGAAAAATCCTTGAGCGAGGAGAATTCTGTATTGGCTCAGGCTAGTTGTGCTGGAGTAATTGCTCCATAGGACCAAAACAAGCTGGTGGAATTCAGAGTAGCATTATGACTACTCTGGCTTATATTTGGTACTGACTCAGTTCCTGACTAGCGCAAAGGTAGTCCTAAAGTTGCCTTTTACCTAGTTCTTTCAGTAATGCAAATAAGAGGTTTTTACAGCTGACAAATCAGTCTATAAATGCTTTCCCTATCATTGTAAGAGTTAAATATACAGAGTTATATGGGTGAATAAATGTGGGAATGTTAAGGTTTTTTTTCTCTCTGTCTTTTGGGTTACTTCAGTTCTGCAGAGAAATAAATATTCCTGTTTTCTGTAAACTTTTTGAGTTGATCAAAATTGATGTGATGCAACTCCTAACAGTTAAAATGTGAACTGCTACAAAAATAATGATCTCATCCATTAAAGGAATTGGCATTGAAGGGCTGTCAGATTTTACATTGTTTTGCAGGAGATGATTCCAAATACTAGCTCATGATTTACACTCAGCATCACTGAAATACAGCAAGCTCTGGAGTTGAGTAAAGGTCAGGTAGTATGGGTGGCAGAGAAGAGTGTGCATCTCTGACACATGGTAGTGTGTTCTCTTCCTATGAAGTGTTTAGAATTCTTTTTTTTTTTTCAGTTTACTGTAGAAGCTTTGCCTTCGAGGCTTGGTTTCACATCACAACACTGAATTGTATTATTGGTCTTTTTCTGGTATAACTACGTCTGCTAAAGTTTATTGACCAGCATTTTGTCCTTGGCCTATCTCCATTATTTCTGAAGTGGGTGATTAACGTGATGAATATGGGAAGAGTGCCTGAGCAGACAGACTAGAGACCAAACCACAAGTTGTTTAAAGGCTCTGGATGAAACCCCCTGTGGCTGGTTGGCTGCTCCGTTGTCAACAATTTCTAAAAGCAAAGAAAGGTGCTTTGATGCGCCAAATTAAATTTTCTGGATCAGTAATTTTGTAGACCATAATCACACATCACTGAAATCTGAATAGCATTTGTTTTGAGGAATGGTACTTACCTCGATTAGGGGGATTTAATTTAAGAGTGAGATTAACTCCAGTTCTGGAGTCCCCAACATAAGA